TGTAAAATTGAGTAGGCCGATCCTAATATATTTGCGGTGTTCTGCAGCCATTTGGCTTTATTACATCCTTTAAATCGTTCTTTTCTCCTTTTACCTGATAGATAGTCTGGGGGCTGTAACTTATTTGCACAAATGCTTCACTCCAACAGTAAGTCGAGCCGAATATTCGGCCATCTATACTCTCAATTAAAAGCGAAAATATATACAGCTTTGGCTAGAGAGTCACAAAATAATTTGTTTGGTGCTTTCTCATCTTAATCAGGGTACTTATACACTTAAATGTGTGTACGGCTGCGTACGCGTGTGTATAGGTTAGCATCTTAGTATGCCCAAGTGAGAGTTCGAAATAGCCGCAATAAATGAGAATAATCAGAGATTAATGTGAATTCAGTTCCGAATCATCAATGATTACTGGGTCAAAGAAAATGCTGACTGGAATTGCGCAATCTGTTAAGTTCGGTTGGCCTTTTTAGCTTGTGGATTACTTGCTATATCCAAATCAATTTATGCATATGTTTATAAGAACTTTTAATGTGAGTATATTTAGCTCATAGAATAGCCTTCTTGCATTCGTTTGAGGTTTTAGTAAGGGTCAGTTGCAACTCTTGCGATGCCTATCGAGTAAAGGAGGAAGGAAAGCCGGTCCAAATCTGCCCCGCAAGAAGATAGGACGTTTCGTGGATTGCATCAGCTTGAAGGTTGTAGCTAAGACAAACGGCTGCCTAACAACCCGAATCAGTCCTCGCCTCACGGTGAAATCAACCTACACTCAATTGTATACGAAAAAAAGTTTCCACAATAATAATATGTCAAAAGATTAAGCGAAAGCCATTTATTATTCGTATATGAGCTCCATTACTAAATCGAGGCAAGTAGTAGCCTATTAAGGCTCCCAAATAAACGAAATCGCATAAAATTTATATCTTTCCTCCACCAGTGGACAATGTAAGTAAATAAAATGAGGTCTTGCTACTTTGTTAAGTCACAAATCGTCGTCGATAATGCCGGCGAAACGGGTGGGAATGTCCCAAGTCAATAGTTTGAAGCTAAGGTTGATAATGACTCAAATCGAGGTCAGAAGAGGCATGACAAGGCGAAACACACGAGGTCTTTCTGTAGGCCCGGATCAGCTGATAAAATGAGGAGAAGCCAACCCTAAAAGAGGCAGCTTCTGCTCTAGGACTAGGTCTCTCGAGGACAGCCTTGTTCGAGTCCCACCGTCTAACGAGTGCAGACGATGATTTCCAACGCGAACCAGGATCAGAGCTCGAAGCCGAACCAAATCCCTATCCAAAACTCGAATCCGAAGTGAAACCAGAGCCAAAACACGAAGCTAAACCCGATTTCGAATCCGAAGTCAAACCCAAACCTGAAGCCAGACCCGAACCCGAACTCGAATCCAAAGTTAAACCAAAACACGATTCCGAAGTCAAACCCGAACCCGAACTCGAATCAAAGGCAGAACCAAACGAGAATCCGAAGTCAAACCCGAGATATAAATCGAATATGAACCAGATTTACAATCCAAGGTCAAACCTGAACACGAACTTGAATCCAAAGTTAAACCAAAATACGAATAAGAAGTCAAACCCGAACCCGAACTCTAATCCAAAGTAGGACCCAAACACGAATCCGAAGTCAAACCCAAGCCAGAACTCGAACATAAACCCGATCTCCAATCCAAAGTCGAACCCAAACACGAATCCAAAGTCAAAGCAGAGCCGGAACTCGAATCTGAACCTGAACCCGAGCCCAATGCAACAAGGTTTCTGTCGCCCACCTGAGCACAGGCCGGACCGAATCTGTCGCTGGGGCATGGCGAACTGCAGTCCAAGCCCTGGGAGCCCGGAGGGCAGGGACACTGGCCCGTCTGTGGATGGCAGATGGACAGCGGTCTCGTGGCGGCGCTCGAATCGACTTCTCGCAGGCCGAAGCCAAGCGGAGTCGACTTTGAGACCCGCCAAGGGTTGGCGGAATGACGCATGGCGATGCCAAAGTCGGCGGGATGTCGAGGCCTGTCAACTGGAGACTGACGTAGCTGTTCCGTTCTCAGCGTCGATTCAGTCAGGACGGCGGTTGCCATCGCGACGTCGGGGTCAAAATAGCAGACGGGACAATTGTAGGCGCAGGAGGGGCCATACTTGCCGGCGGGACAAACTGGCGTCGGGTGAAGTTGGGAAAAAGAAAAAGATAAAGAGGAAGAGAGGATCAGACGCAAGCCCGACTCTTTCAACTCGGCCGGAGGGAGGAGACATTTTAAGGC